CTCGATCCTGGCCCAGCTGTGGAAGGTGCCGTCGCTGTTGGGAACGATCCCGCCCCACTCCGTCTCCTGATCCCGGATTTCATCCCCCTTCATCCAGTTGATCCCGATGATCCCGGGGTAGAATCCGTACGCGTGGCAGGACAACGTCAGGATCCCGTGTTCCTCTTTCCCGGACACGTGGACATCAGGGGGCTCTGGAATGGGATAACAGTGAGATCCATCCATGGAATTCCCATGGGACTGGGACAGCAGTGAGATCAATCCACAGAATTCCCACTGGAATAGGACAACAGTGGGATCCATCCATGGAATTCCCATGGGAATGGGATTGGGGTGAGATCCACCCACAGAATTCCCACTGGAATAGGACAACAGTGAGATCCATCCACAGAATTCCCATTGGAATGGGACAACAGTGGGATCCATCCATGGAATTCCCATGTTCCTCAGTATCACCTTCCCAAAATCCCACATTCCCAAATCCCACATTCCCATGGGAATTCTGTCTCCCTCACCTTTGCGCTCCAGCGCCTCCCGCCCATATCCGACGTATTTCCGGAGCCATTCTGGACAGATGCTCCCAAGGTAATGTGTCTGTCTCTCCACCTCGATCCCATCGTGTTCCCATTTCCTCTTGGTGATCTGGGCAGCTCCATCGGCCGCCACGAAGCTCCTGGATCCCAGTTCGAAGGAGATGAAATCCCGCCCATCATAGCCGTACTGACTGGATCCATGGACGCTCCCGTCAGACAGGAGGTCACAGCCATAAAGCCACTGCCATGTGTGGAGACCTGGGGGGTGGGATCAGACCTATGGAATTGTGTCCCAGCCCCACAGAGCCCCATTCCATCCCTATGGAGCCCGAGAGACCCATGGAGACCCACAGATCCCATCCCAGCCCCTCATATCCTATCCCAGCCCTTCACATCCCATCCCAGCCCCACACATCCCCCCATTCCCCGGCTCCCCCCACTCACCCCCACTCCAGTTGTACCGGCCCTGTGCTATCTCCAGGTTGTTGGCATCAATGAGCCGGCTCGTCTCATAGATCTGGGTCTGTCCATCCCAATATCCCGGCTCAGGTCCAGCCGCCATCCACGGCGTCAGTGGCTCCGCCTGGCGCCGCTCACTGTCGTAGCGGCTAATGGGGATCCCATCCACGTATCCCATGGACAGGTATTGAGGGACCCCCGGGCTGGGCTCCGTCACTGCCACGTGCAGGTAACGCAGGGAGTGGAGAACTGGGGGGAGACGGAGATTTGGGGGGTCCAGAGGGGTCATGGGTCAAGGAAAGGGGGAACTGGGAGAGCTGGGAGAGCTGGGAAGGGGGTTTGGGGATCCCAGGGAAGTTGGTGCAGGGGGTGTCAGTGCTGGGGGAGGGGGGGGCAGGGGTCCCACTGCACAGGATTGAGGTCCCAGAGTCAGGGAAAAGGGGGATACCGGGATTGGGAGAGGTGGAATGGGGGGATCCAGGGGGTCCCTCTGACAGGGAAAAGGGGCCAAGAGGTCCCCAGGGTTGAAGAAAGGGGGGTCACGGGTGGGGAGATGTGAGATGGCTGGGAATGGGGGTCCAGGTGGTCCCAGGATAAAGGAAAAAGGAGCATCTGGGAGTTGGGAGAGGTGGGATGGCCGGGAAATGGGCTGTAGGGGAGTCTCAATGCTGGATAAAGGGTTCAGGAGGGTCCCCATTCCCAAGAATGGAGGTTCAGGTTGTCCCGGGGTCAAGGAAAGGGGGTTTGCAGGGGTTGGGAGAGGTGGGATGAGGAGTCTAAGGGATCCCTGTGCCCAGGAAAGGAGTTCCCAGGGGTTGCCAGTGTTGAGGAAAGGCGGCTCTGGGAACTGGGAAAGGCAGGAATGGGAGTCCAGGGGCTCTCAGGGTCAAGGAAAAGCTGAGTCTGGGGTCTGGGAGGGGCAAGATGGCCTGAATGGAGGTTCAGGGGGGTCTTGCTGCCAAATAAGGGGGTGCAGGGGGGTTCCCGTGCCCCGGAATGGAGGTTCAGGGGGGTTCCAGTCCCAGAGAAGGGGGGTCAAGGTGTTCTGGGTGCTGAATCAGGGGGTGCAGTGGGTTCCCCATTCCCAAGAATGAAGGTTCAGGAGGGTCCCAGGGTCAGGGGAAGGGGGCTGAGGGCACTGGGAGAGGTGGGATGGAGGTTCAGGGGGTCCCTGTGCCCAGGAAAGGGGGGTCCAGGGGTCCCCAGGGTTGAGGAAAGGGAAGGTCACAGGACCAGGAGATCCAGGATTTCTGGGAATGGGGGCGTCCTGCAAGTCCTCAGTGTAGAGGAAAGTGGGGTCTGGAGGCTGGGAAAGGCAGGAATGGGGGTCCAGGAGATCTCAGGTCAAGGAAAAGGGGGGTTTGGGAGAGGTGGGATGGCTGGGAAAAGGGGTGCAGGGGGGTGTTGGTGCAGGATAAGGGGGTTCAGTTGGGTCCTGGAGCTGGGGATGGGGGTCCAGGGGTGTTCCAGTACCCTGGAATAGAGGCCCAGGGGGTTCCCAGAGCTGGATCAGGGGGTGCAGGGGGATTCCTGTGCCTGGAAATGGAGGTTCAGGGGGGTCCCTGTGCCAAGAATGGAAGTTCAGGGGGGTCCCTGTGCCCAGGAATTGCCGTCAAGGGCGTTCCTGGTTCCTGGGACCCCCCTGCAGGAAGCACAGGAAGGGGAGAACTGGGGGGGTCACAGAGATTGGCGGGTCTGGAGGGTCCAAAGGTCAAGGAAGAGGAACTGGGAGAGCTGGGAGAGTCGGGAAGGGTCCAAGGGTCAAGGAAAGGGGGGGCTGGGACTGGGAGAGGTGGGATAGGGGATCCAGGGGGTCCCTGTGCCCAGGAAAGGGGGGTCCAGTGCTTCCCAGTGTTGAGGAAAGTGTGGACTGGGGGATGGGAAAGGCAGGAATGGGGGTCCAGGGGGTCCCAGGGTGAAGGAAAAGGGAGGATCAGGGGGCTGGGAGAGGCGGAATTGCCAGGAAAAGGGGCACAGGGGAGTATTTGCTGATGATAGGGAGGTTCAGAGGGGTCTTGGAGCCAGGGGTGGGAGTGCAGGGTGTCCTGGTGCAGAATCAGGGGGTTCAGGAGGGTCTCAGTGCCAGAAATGTGGGTCCAGGGGTGTCCCTGTGATGGGTTAGGGGGTGCAGGGAGATCCCTGTGCCAGGAATGGGGGTCCAGGGGGTTCTCATACCCAGAAATGGGAGTTCAGAGGGGTCTTGGAGCCAGACAAGGCAGTTTGGGGGGTCTCAGCTCTGTGGGATGGGGTGCAGGGGGGGTCCAAGTGCCCGGCAATGCAGGTTCAGGGAAGTGCCGGGGCCCGGCAATCCAAGGGGCCGAGTTGCCCGTTGCGGGGGTCCCACTTACCCTTGGGCTGCCCCCCCGAGCCCCCCAGCAGCGC